TGTTTTGTTAAGATTACACCCATTTCCTGAGCAATAGAGAATATTCTGGAGCCTATGGCACTGCTAGCGATAATGCTATAATATTCTATGGTAAGAGTATAAATGCTGACACACTTCGCCGCTTGTCAGTTGGTTGACGGCTGATGCTCCGTTCCCTGCTATTAGTCAAAGCCCGCTACTGTAACCCAACTTTCTGTTTACCGTGCTCAGGTTCGCCCAAATAAATAGTTTGATCTTACTGTCCAGTCTCCTGCCTTCAGCTGTCTTACGACCCGGTGATAATATAAATGTGCCGAGAAATCTACCAGCCCAGGCAGAAGTGGTAGAAGTGTCGAATTCCCTTGGTGCGATGTTATTGCCTCACTCAGTCTCACTTCTTTTTGAAAGGGGTGAACCAAACATAAACCAAACATAAGGTGAAAAAAAAAGGGGAAATAGTAAAGCTATAAGTGTTATAGTGCATGGACACTTGGCATACATGAAAACGAAGCTTGATTGTAAAAACTGTTCACATGTCTGCTGCTGAAACCATGGTTCTGAGCTCTTTGATTTTGACTCATATGAGTTAATGAGTAACTGTAAACTGCTAAAACTTACATTCGGTGGCTGATGATGTACTTCAGGTGAATATTCAAGTTGTGGCTTGCTCAAGATTATACATTCAGAACAGCGAAACGGGGCTCTAGTACCAAAGTTTCTGCTCGAGGTTGAATGAATTTAGCATGTTCAGTAATTATGAAGCCTTCCAGTGAATAACATCTCTCAGTGCACCTGCAGCTTCACTGCAAATAATCACAATATCATTAAGTCCACAAAAGTTGGCATCGAGTCTCCCTTGTTGATCTTTTCAAGAATGGTTTTCAGATGTGAGACTTTATAGGGCTTAGGTGACATGTACTGCCCAACACTTGCTCGATCAAAACAATTTCACCGAAAACCGGTGACCACCACATAGCCGGGGAGCGATTTTTGCGGAGAACAGCGCATGCTCACTCATTTGTTGCCTATGCAAGGCTACCCGTGCTAGTGCATGCAACGCCCCAAGCGGCATCGGCGGGCTTTAGGGGCCGGTTTTGGCGGTCACTTTTCACACCTCCTCATTTTCCTAGTTCATGGTTTCCTTCACGCAACTGCTGGGTGCACTCGCGGAACAATGCCTTTTCCGATGCCTATGCTTATCATTCTTTTCGCGCTTGGCCAGTGTGGTAAGTAATCAAAGCGGCTGCTTGTCCACATTATCAACAAAATCAGTGGGCCACGGGTGATAGACGATAAAAATAGCATGGAATAAGGCAAAAGTCACTGCTCCATGATACCCTGCCTTCATCTCGGCATTGTAATGTGAACTTAGGTAGTGAAAAAGCTGCTGGTGTTAACGTGTTAATGCAACTGTTAGGAGCGTTCATGAAAGTTGTTTTGGCCACTGTTTTAGCAGGCTTTTCACCATGGGGTCGCTATGCATGGGTGAGAATTGCGTCGTGACGCTGCTGGGAAAGAATAGAAAGCAGCTGGCACTTTTTGAACTTTAGGAATAAAGGTTCCTTTGTTTTGCTTGCTCAGGTCAGTTATATATTTTTTATTTCACTAGAACAAAATTTTTGCATCAACAAAATCATTTCTGTACCCCATCAGTTTCATTGTAGCAAAGTTCGAGAGTAGAAAGAAATAGGCGAAACCCGGTCGTGAAGTTGGCTACAATGCCGGCACAGTTGTTCTCGCCGTACACTCCACAGCGCAAGCCATAAACAACATGCAATTACAAGCTCCACTTGCATCACAGGTCTCGCACAAGTTAGACGTGTAACAATCCTAATCGCTTTCGTTGCGAAGTCAGTTTAGGTATCCCTATGTATATTTAATCGATATCTTTTTTGCCTGTAAAAACATGTCGCATTCAATTTGTCACCACTGATGGTGATCGCCTCGCCAAAAGGTAATTGAGCACATGTTATGCGAAGTTTTGCTGTCACTAATCAGTGCTTCGGTAGCACAGCAGGCTTCTTATGACACAATAATGCAATGCTACAATGCGATGCATTATCTACATGGCATTCACAAGCACGCTGAACCAGAAAGTGTGTAGTAGTTGCCGCTCCGTTCGATTTCATTGGTTGTCACACACGTTCCTGTCGGTGCTTAGCATTATTTGAACACATGTAAAATCCGAGTTATTTTGCTTCAAGCTACTGTTGCAGCATCCCAGCATGCAGCATGGGAGCCCAACTGTCACAGTTCATCTAAATATGGCTGTTAAAACTCGTTAATGCAGTTTGCCAATGCACCAGTTGCAGGCACTTAATATACCAGGCACTACAACTGCCAGCATGCATTGCGGCAGCTGTGGCGCAGTGAAAATAGCTGGTAAGATTGGTCTATTCTATCTATTATCAAGCCATCAGAATCAACCTGAAACGATTTGATGAGGAAGATATGTGGAAGGTTTCTGGCTATGAGACAATAAAAAAATCGATGCATGCTCGCCACCGTCCTTATGAGGACTCAATGGATCGCAATGTAGGTGCTTGAGGGCTTTACCTTCATTTGCCTGTATGCCTGCCTTTATCTTTTAAAGCCTATTCCTCCATGCGCGATGGTGTGATTACTGTTCATCGTACTGCTGCATGTCGTAAGTTAAAGTAGACTGATCTGTGTGCAGCGTAGTAAGCTATAGTCGAGAGCAGCTGTTGATCTTGCATATTATGTACCACGATTGTTATGTGCACTGCATGAAGCTTGCTTGTTAAGCCGTTAGTGAAGGGGCAGTTTTCTACCCGGGCGGAGCGAGTTGTGTGTGAACTTGCAAACATACATTGTCATATCTCAAATGCGTATGATTGAGAATATCACTTCTGCTTAAAGTGACTATGCAAAAAGAATCGATGCTCACGCGGCACAAATTTCCATTGCTGCAACAGCAGTAGCATTTCTTTACCTTTACACTAGTTGTCCCAGCATTCAATTTTGTTTGGATTCCAACACACTTGATGATGGCATTGTTTCCTGTCAAAACTGGAACTAGCTGGCTGAGCTTTAGCTGCCAGTGAGATGCCAGAAGTTCCAAAATCGAAACGGCCCTCTGTTTTTTGAGAAATAATAATTTTTTGCTCTTGCACTTCAATAGACTTTTTCAAGCATTCCCCGCCGGTTCGGGGCATTGTGGGAAAAGTGTAGGCCGAGCAAACCGGCTCTTCCGCCACCCGGAGCTCATTGGTACCGAGGGAGTACGAAACGAAAGGACATGCCACTGCTTCTTGACTAGATAGGTCCAAATGCACTAACATTTATATCTAAGCATGAAATGGGAAATGAGTAAGGCAGTCAGTGTAGGTATCACTTGGTGGGTGTACCCCAAAGGTAGAAGATGAGCAGCATGTGAGTTGTTGCATACCGATACCTGTGGTCAAAGTGTGCTATCGTGACGAATGTGAGCTGGAACACTAAATTTAGAGTTATTCAACAATGAACTGCTCATAAAGTGCTACGTATTGCATTTAATACAATCGTGGTTTTATTGGGTTGTTAACACCAGAGTGCAGAAAAGTGTTACAGCTAGAATTTTTTTACTTTTTTATGGAGCAGTCACGCGCTGAAAAAGGATAAATAAACATATTCTAAACCTGTTTAAAGATGAAGGGATAGAACTAGAATTCGTGTGCGAGATACTTTGCTCTGATAATTTGCAGTTTTTTATAAGATGCTTGCTGGCAGTATATTCCGCACTGTCTGAAAGCACTGTTGAATTTCACATCGGCACATTCAAATATTGTTCAATAAAGAACTATGATGTCCTACTTACGCTCGCCATTGAAGAAAAAAACAACCAAAGAATTTGGGCTGCAAGAAGGCGCGGTATCCTGCTATCATAATGCACCGGTTTGTGAACACCTTATTCACTCTGCAAACAAAGATCAAGACTGACTACGTTCACTCGCTAAAAAAAAAAAAAACAAAGAAACTGGATTATTGCAGATATTTCATGCATACATTCTGCACAGTCTGAAAGGAAGTATGGAAGCGATACGAGGTGAGGATTGTGTTTTATGCACCATAAACTTGGTAACATTTCTTCGGTAGAGCGCGAAAGGTCGCAGGGGACTGCAGTTGGCAGAGAAAAGTACTATGAGAGGCATGTTCTTGTTATTGTGCAGGAGTTGCTAACCGAATTCATCTTTCTTGTGTTCACATATGTACATCTGCCAGGGTGGTTGATGTATCAACATGTGCCTCACAAAGTATCAAATTTCATTGAATGGAGCCATCTCATCGCACCTCACATTTTCAGTCTTGCAAATGCAATTTCAACATTAAAATTAAAAGCCTAGTAATCTTGCACAGTCACCCCAACCAGACTACGCGAGAAATTTCAGAAACATATAAAGAACACCATGCCTTGTTTAAGTAAATTAACCTTTGCTATCGTTACAACACATGAGACTTAACTTTAATGATCTTCTGTAAATACGGGCCTTGGTTGTTTGCCTTTTTGTGCCTCTTTGTAACATGTGCGATGCATCCCCATTTTTTGTATATGTTTTTTCACATGTTCAATAACCTTACAGTTGCGAGTGAGCATTTCTGTTGTGCATATTTCTTTCCTGTTCCTACTTCTTTCTTCTTGCGCTGTAAGCTTTACTCCAACCTGCAGTTACAGTGACTAATTGATCGATATGTGGGTTTTACCGTCCCAAAATTACCTTATGATTATGAGAGACGCCGTAGTGGAGGACTCCAGAAATTTCGACCACCTGGGGTTCTTTAACGTGCACCCAAATCTGAGCATACGGGCCTACAACATTTCCGCCTCCATCGGAAATGCAGCCGCCGCAGCAGAGATTCGATCCCGCAACCTGCAGGTCAGCAGCCGAGTACCTTAGCCACTAGACCACCGCGGCGGGGCGGTTACAGTGACTAAGCAGGTTGGTAGGTGCATATGCTGCAAGCGACGTGCAGTGGTCTACTCAATGTATTTTACTATAACCTGACAGTGATTTCATTGGCAGGTTGTGCAGCCTTCCCTTGACCACACACCGGACTCAAGCGAGAAGGGCAGGCGCTCATCTGCTCTCAGGTGAGGTCATGTCAGCTGCTTTGCTGTCCACAGCAGGACTTTCTTTGCTCTGGAAGTTATTCAGTGCCACAATGAAAATGCTGAAGAAGAAAGTTGCTGAGAAAAAAAAAAAACCCTCTGTTTTGACAGAGTTGAAGCATTAAAAACGAAGTGAAACTTCAAAACATCAGGGTCGCAAATCCTTAAGTCGATTCAAGCAAGATGTTTTCTTGCAGGAATGTACTACCAGTAATTGATGAACATTAAACTGCTAAACATAATTAGCAGTAGGCTTGTGCTAGAGGGTATACTAAAACAGGAGAGTGCCCAGAACGAGCTTCGAAAAATTGATCCTAAACAATGTCAATCCGCCCATGGCGCTACGGCCGGTAGTCTGCATTCTGTCGTTGTTTTACCTCGGTAGTGGCTCAAAATTTCGCAGCCGAGAAAGCCTGCGTGGTTGATTCCTGCAAATATTTGTATGTAATCTGCAAAGTATCAAGAGCGAGTATAGCTTGATGGTATTTGAAATTAATCTTAAAGTTTGTGTGAGCGCTAGAGTTCATCGTGCCATTGGTACGCCATTGGCACGCTCGAAGGGTACTTTTTGGGCACCCCCTACTTTCCTCACGTCACTACGCTGCTGTCAATGAAACAAGTTAAGATGATGTCATAGCCATCATTTTTCTTTTTCTGCATTTGTTCCCACAGTCTGTACTTCTCGGCGGCTGGTTGGAAGTTAGTAGCCGTGATGCACACTTTGAAAGTTATTTGTCTGGCGACACTGCAGTTTCGTTTCCTATTCAAAAGTAATTCTTGATGTGGACCATGCGGAAGTGTGTCACGGTTCTGTGTGCTGAAGTAGTCGAAATCTGCACATACTAGGTGGTGACAGTTGCACCCAGCAGCTTCTTACTCTTGGAGCTCTCTCAAACCGAAACTGAAACTGGCCGATAATGAGTGGCCTGTAAATAAATATCTCTCACGTGCTGCAGGAAACGATGTGCCGTGTTGTGACTAACAGGCCCGAGCAAGACATCGCATCAGAAAAATGCGAGGCCAAAGTTTTTGTTTGAGTACCCCTCCAAGAGTTGTGTGCCGCTCTGCCAAAGTAGTGCAGAGGTACAGCGCTAACACAAAGACATATCACAAAGACTATCAACTGACTATTTCCGCATTTGTCAATGCATATATCATATTTACTCGCATCATACTCGCACTTTTTTTGGCGGGAAACCGACGCAAAGTTTGAGGGTGCGAGAATTACGCGGGAAAAACTTTCCACGAAAATGTACAGAGCGAAAAAGAAAACGAAGTGGCCGCATGTCAGGATTCTCACTCCAGCAACTAACAGCAAGCTTTGAGAAGTACTAATAAAGATTTACCTCAACAATAAAAGCACAGGTTCAAAACAAGGCAAGATTTATTTGAGACACAAATGGTGCAATCAAATAGTCGAGAATCAGAATACTGTAGGCAAAGCTTGTGGCCGTTTCGGGTGTAGCGGTAGCGTACGTCGCTCAACAGGAGTCCGCAAAAGGTAAGCGAAGGACGTCAGTATTGGGCTGATGGCCATTTAACACAATGGTCTGCAGTTGCCTTCTGAAGAAATAAAGTTTACCATCAATCCCAGTCTTAGGTACACGAAAGGCCCAACACGTCTTGGTGGCTTTCACCTGCCGTCATCAGTAGCGAACACAAAACTAGGCTACTCCGAAGGGCATACCAGCAGCTCGGTTGCCGTTATTTAGGGCATGATCAATCACTTTCAACTTGAAAGCAGCCGTGTAGCTTCCACACCACCCCATAACGTAACAAGATTACGGACACAACATACAAATCATGCCGCAACGCGCTTTTGCCACTTTGTCTTGAATTGAATTGGATTGAATTTCTGTGCAATAATAGTACGCTCTATGCTTAGGAGATGGCGCCAGACGGCGCACGCTATCATCATCAGTGGCTTGACTGAGCAGACGACATTATTGTGGCGCTCTTCGGGGGTGCGATAATTACTCGAGGAAAAAAAGAAATTGTATTTTTGTCGGGCGATGTTGGGGGTGCGAGAATTACGCGAGTGCGAGAATTACGTGAGTAAACACGGTACACTTTCAAGACAGCGTTACCTCGCATGCACCATGTAATCAACATAAAACAGAAACACAAAAGTATAAGAGTTGAAAAAGGAACGGTGTATTACTTACGCGATGAAATGAAATTCAATTCAGATGGGCACAAAAATTAGCCCTTTTTCTGATATGATAGGCTTCCAAAGCCAGTCATGCATGCTCTTGCCAAGGATCGACATCCCTTTAAATCGTGCCTCCTAATTGTGGCAAGCATTAATATGAGCCACAAGACGAGCTTTTTTATCTGTATTGTTTTGTGAGTGTTCCTTGGACTGCTCATAGACGCATCTTTCAGTTAGACCTACATAGTTCCTACCACAGGAGACCGGGATGGCATAAATCACGTCGACGGCACATAAGTCACACTGCGTCTGCATATACTGCAGGTGTGGGAGCATAGCTTGAAAAGCTTGTTTGGGGCAGGCAGCGCCATAGGGACACCATGTCTTCTTGCTACTTTTTTGAGATGATGGGAGATCTGATGCATATACAGGACCAACACACACATAACTTTCTCCTCTACAGTGTCTATCCTCTTGGTGGATTTCTTTTTCTGAATTAGTGTTTCCGCCACTGCAGTCAAGGATTATGAACCAACTAGGCCGAAAAGAAGTTTTACTGTAGTGCTGAGGTAGGAATGCTCACTTCCTAATCAATAGGCCTGGGTTCAAATCGTACTTATCGATGTTGAGTTTTATTTTTGAGGGTAACTTCTTATAGCTGTATTGTTTTCTTTGTTTCATAAAAGTAGCTTCAGTTGGCACTTATTGAAACAAAAAGGACTTTGAAATGTGAAGTAAAAGTAGAAGAAACCTGACACTGAGCATAATTATTTGCAATGCCGCTGCGCATCATTAAACGAAAACTTAAAATGTGGCCTCCAAAGTTTCTCGCATTCGCAAATATCTCAAAGGGGTATTTTACCTTTTACTAATAAGAACTAACTGGCAACCTTTTTAGTTTGATGCCACACAGTGGTACTATAAATAATTATGCTCATTATTCAATGTGAGAAGCAAAAAAGCTACTTCCTTAGCCTTTCCTACTCTTTAAACTTCTGTGGAAGCCCAACTGATGTGGTGGAGAAGGGCGGGCTCCCTTCGAGTTGAGAGTTCCAGATCTGCCGTCATAGATGTAATTATAGCTACGTAGTATATTTTTACGTAACAATATGTAAGAACATCTGAAATGTTGGATGCTAAAAATTTTTGGCGCCTAAACTTTCGGACTTCCTGCCCAAATTTAAGTCAAAAGCTGCCTTAATTGAGCGCCACTTCTGCTACATTTATAATCTTCATGTTGAAACCAGCACTTTTTTTTTTTTTAGTTAATACATTAGCGACTGTAACGGAGCTTGAAAGGAAGCTTTGCTGCAATATAAGAATGCATTAAGGGGAAATATTTGAAAAGTTGAACGGGTTACTATTGATCGAACGGACGTTCACAGTGTTTTGGGGAAATTTGACCTTGGTGGATCCTGAAAAACAGCTTTACCACAGTATAATTGTGATGAGGTGAAGCATATATAAAGTTTGAAGGGGCCACTTTCAAATGTATGTTTCCTGTATTTGTCTTTAGGAAGTTCGAAGAGTTCAAAATAGTAAAATTTCAGTGCTAATAAAATTCCATTCAAAATATATTCAAAATTTTGAACCTCCGCTCACCCCTACGAAATCGCCTAGCAGGATAAGAGTGTATGACTACCACAATCCACAGGTCTTGACAAGAACAAAATGGAAGACCTGTCAAAATTATCATGAAACCTTTCCCACCACTAATATGTGGCACATACCTACAATTATGGCATTTTCTTTGTTCATTTTTTTGCAGCATTTTTATTTCATTTGTAGTTTGCCAGTAATACTGTATGATTTTATTGCAAAACTGTGTTCATTTAAAAGCTCTGTTGTTTCAGTTAGTAGAGATTTTATTTCCCGATTTTCGTTTCTTGTATGTTAAAGCACATTTTTTGTTTTATTTTGAATATTTTGTAACCCGCTCTCCTCTGTAATGCTTTGGCGAGTGGGGTTACAAACATAAATAAATAAATTCCATGGCTTTATATGTGAACCTTAAGCACCGGTGAATCTACCCTGGAGAAACCTCGTTTATAGAACTTTCAGGAGACCATGCAAACTGTAGTGTAATTCGGGCATCGTATAATCGAAAAACTAAGATTATAGGCAGTGAAACTCAGCCTTGCCCAAAAATACAGGTACAGGTGGCCTGAATAAGCCTACGGCACGATCTTGTGGCTCTGCGAGAAATTCAGATTAAATTATTCTTTCCAGTGGCAGCTAATGGCAGTGTTTTTTAACTGAAGGTGTGAGCGCAAATTTATTCTCAACCTTCAAAAAAATTGAATTCAACGCACATCTTTCTACCGATAAATAGAGTCCAAAAATTGCCTGTACATGATAATGAAATCAAAGCCAGGTTGCCAACAGCCGCCCATCAGAAGAGTCAGACATAGTGTAATTGCTATCACATAATGGCAACGGACCACGAGTTTGCGTAAAATGCCTTCATGCACGACTGAGCTGTGGGAATTGTAATTTGTTGCTTTTTGAAGTGCAACTAGTGGTGTCCCACTCGTATTATGAACGCTGACTTCAAGTGAAAATAATTTTGCATGATGAAAGTAGCTGCTTTGCGCCCTTATGCGTGTGCAATCCTTTCACTGCAAGTGCAACAAAAGCAACAGATCAGCTGTATGTTGACTACGAAAAGTTTTTACGTACTGAAAACGTGAAAATAGGACATTTTAGGCTCTCTGAAGCTACTCTGTGTGGACAAAGCTTAGACTAGTTGACGACACCACATACGTACGCATGCGATCGGGGCGTATGTAGAAGTGCATGAACTTCCAGAATACATTTTTCTTTCTAAGAAAGCATGCTGTCTCACACTCTGCTTCTTCAATTGTCCACCAAGGAGAATTAACATTTTGCACTCGTAAATATGAAGTGCATAGTAGATGGCAGCACTATTAGGAATTTCTCTACAAGAGTTGGCAGAGTGGAGGGATGTCAAGGCACCTCCCTATGTTATTCAGGACTCTGATCAATGAATATCAAAGCGGTGTATGAACAACATGTGTGAGTAAACATGAGTATAAGTGTGAATATAGGTAAGGTTAGTAGATAAGGTAATAGGTCAGCAAAAGTAAGGGGAATTCACTCAGACTAACTCAAGAAATATACTTTATGCATTGAACTCAACTGGACTCGTCAATATTTTTCCGAGCCGCACTCACACTCAAGAAAATATTCTTCAAGTAGACTCGCCAGACTCAAATTCACCAAAATATTTTTCGTCTCGATTCACGAGATTCATGGTCCGTTACGAGTCTGAGTGAGTCTGAATGAGTCGAATCACAAATTAGTTCTCCAACCCATGTCCGTTCAGTGAGGTCAGTTTATTACCTGAAAGACCTCCTTTCTTGGAGGAGCAATAAGCAATACAATAGGGGTGGGGTTTTATTTCGGTTAACAATACTCGGTGAACATAGTTTTCAGTGTTGAATGTGATCGACAATCGGCCTTGAAAGAGGCAAGGGTGACAATGTCCCGGGGAAGGCCGTTCTAGCCTGTGGCTGCTCGACAAACGAAAAAAAAATTTAACTCCCGTGTTAACAAGCGCTCCTCGACTCGACTTTCACTCTTCACTTGACAGAATTGAGCACTGTGCCGCCGCTTGCCTGAAAATGGCGCTGCGCTACTTAAGAATCGCAGCAGATTATCGCTAATATGCAGTGGCTTGTCGTGACTAGAGACGGCGCTCCCATCGGCTTTCTCAAGTGAAGGTGGAGCGTTGAGTGAAGGGATGTTATAGAATACGGGAGTAAGAGTTGAATGCGTAGTTCAACCACTTAGTCGAACTTTTCATTTTATGATGTTACTTAAAAATTTTAAATTGGGAATTACTACAATGTAATCGATAAGATATAAAGTGGCTAGTGTCAGTGAAGCTTTCACATATGGCTGCATTTTGTGTAATGGGTGGTATGCTTTAAACGGCTAGCAGTTATGCGCTGGAAATGTTTTCAAAATTCCTATGCACCTTCTATGTGCTCCTAATTCTTTCGTTACCACGCAGGAATGGTTGTTTTTCACATTTCTCGGGAAGACTGCTTTTGCCAGTTTGAAAAGTACTCTAGCAACGCATAGCAGCATACCAAATTTTATGCAATAAAATTATTTTTCCAAAAACATGTTGTAGAGAAACAAAAATATTTTAGAATTAATAAAATGTGAAAAGTGTAGAATTTTTGGTTGTCAGCTGGTAAACAGTGCATTAAAAAACAGTATATATGCAAAGATATTCAAAACAAAGAAAATTGAGAATATACATTTTGTAGGTAAATGACCAAGGAAAAGTATAAAAATAATGAATGTTGTACGAAATGTTTCTCTTCACATAGACAAAGAAAATCTGAACTGAGATGTTGCTTCATCGCTTGTGCCATGCGGTGGAGCATTGCATGATTTCTCATGAGACACAAGTGTACTCATACACTTTTATCAGTAAATTCTTGTTGCGTTGCGATAAGTGTCTCCAGGTGTTTTAATATAGATAGATACCTGTGATGTGAATAATCCTTTTATAAATGAGATATTGAATGAATTTCGCTAGTTCATCTAGACCTCATGAGCCACCTCACTTTGCAAAGACTGGTGTTCTAATATATGAATCCAAGCATATTTCTCTGCATTTTTGCACGTATCATAATAAAGAAAGGACAATATCATTTGCAGTTCTCAAACGTTTCGCTCTGCTCCGTAGTCAGGGCTAAGATGTGCTCCGGGGACCTTCTTGTCGTGTAGAAATGCTCTGCAGCTAGCTACAGCACACCTCACCCCAGTGAAGTGTGAACCACGCACGTAACCAGAGTAGCGCTAAGATTGTGCGCAGAGGTCAGAAGCTACACACACTTGTGGCGGAGGAGACAACTTGAAGATATAAACAAAACAAACTCATGAACTGCTGCTGATGTCTCAAGCTGACGCAAAACATCGATATCATAAAACTTAAAGCTGACGTGCTGTCATGCTCGAACTCTAAGCTTATCCTCACTTAATTCAGACGGATTTGCAAGGCAGTTTTGAGCAGCGCATGTGTTTTGCAGCGCTGGTGCGCACCCATGTGCGCGTACCAGCACGCCATGCATGCGTGACGACGTCATAGGAGCGAGTAGTGACACTAGATGCGACCCTGTGTCTGATATAACGATGCTATTTGCACATCTCTTTAGTGTTCCTCTAAAGCCACTGGATTTCAAACCTTATGGTAAAAAAGCTATGAGGGTAAGCTTTGTTTGTCTAATTGTTTTCTGTCTTGACATGCCATAGTTATCACATTCTGGGGTGTGTTAAAATTGGGTGGGTATGGTAGCCACCACTTGAGTGCTGAATGCAACGCAGAGCACTGGCCTCCTTCCGAGTCTTGGAGGACACAGTGAACAACTTGGCAACCGTTGTCTCGGAGGACTCTGACTTTGCACCATCCGAAGTGGAAGAAGAGCAGGACTACGACAGCTGGGATGATCATATGGTGAGGCCCTTATTTGTGGCTTTTTGCCCAGTAGTATCATGTTGAAAGGAATTATAGGCAAATGGGACAAGCAGTAACGTAGTGCCCTGGTAGTGATGTTAAGCAGAGAGCATTGCAGTGAGTGTTTGGGTGTTGGAATGTATGTATGTTGATGATGAGCAGTCAATAGCTTGTGTTTAGTTGCACAGGAGCGTAGTGGTTGCTTTGGAAAGAAAGTACAGTCGACTCCTCTTAAACGAAACTCGAAGGGGATCCATAAAACTCTTCCATTTATCAGAAGTTTTGTTTAAGCGAAGTACACTTATTTTGGTGAATCAAAACCTTTATTCAAATTGCACAAACCTCACGGTACTCATGAGGATGAGTGGGAGAAAAAAATAATAAGAGTGAAAGGTGGTTTGTTTGGCAAGCTTGAGTTGTTTTTTCACAAGGTATGCACCCATGCCCAATAAACTAGCAAGAAATTCTGGACAAGCCTTGTGCTCAAAATAGCGCTGCAAAAGTTCAACAGCCTCTTTAGCTGATTGGTCTGGTGGCACCACTACACTGGCAATATTGTCCCCGCATTCATTGTTGGAAGGTTAATCCTCATCTTGCACTTCGGCAACCATTGCCTTGACAGTCTCCTCACGGCAGGTACGAACATTTGAACAATTGATTCGTAGTCCTGCAGCATGAATGGGGCAGATGGCACGACCTCACTGAATACTGGAATACTGCCTCAATGTCGGCATTAGCAGGGCTTTCTTTTTCATCAGGTACGGCTTCTTGCACTTGAAAGCCAGCATTATGAAAGCATCTGTATATTGTTGTTGCCTTCACTTGCTCCCAGGCACGGGCCAAAATGTGGATGGCTGCCAATAAATCTATGCTGTAGCATTTCGCACTGGCCACACAAAGCAGCAATCGATGGGGCAATTCTGCAATAATGAACTTTAATGTTCTGAATAACCTCTTGATCCATCAGCTGAATCACTGCCGTTGTGCATTGGCTGGCAAGAACTCCAGAGTGATGGCTTGGAGTCGACCGGACCGTGCGTTGGGCAATTATTCACGATGAAGACAACATTCCTGCCTTGCCTCGTAAATCTTGCATCTTCCTCCCGTAGCCAGTTTTTGAAAATGGCTATGGTCATCCACGCTCTTCCATTCGCATGGTACGCAACGGGAAGATGTCGAACGCTTTTGAAACAACATTGGTGCCTTAATTTTTCTATTACCAGCAGCTTCAATTTTTCATCTCCTGCCTTGTTGGCACCCACCAGCACGACATTTTCCTCCACTACAGGCTTCGCCTTTGAAAGTGAGAGTCGTTGATGGAAGCGCCTTATAAAAAAGACTCATCTCGTCAACGTGAAAACGTCTTGGGGCTCAAAGCTCATCAAAATTTTCTTAGGCCGCCCCTTTTGCCAGTTGGTGCAAATGTTTCTGTTGACTGCAGCACTCTAACCTGAGACTGCTTTCAAGACTAGGCCATGGAGTGTTTTGAAGCGGCTGAGCCATCCGTCACGTAGGACGAAGTTCTCAACACGTTTGCCATGGCGATCTCTCAAGCTTTCTGTTTGAGAATTGGACCTCTTATTGGCAAATTACAACTCCGTGCACGCTTAAACCACAGGAAAAGAACTTTTCCAGTTGTTCATAAGGCGTCGTCTGCATCTGTTTAGATGCAAAGGTCTCGTTCTTTACAGCGCCTTCAATCTTTTCTCTGCCTTTGCAGATTTGCAACAGCGTCGATTTCGGGATATTGTATTTTTTCGCCGCTTATGTTTTGGGCAGGTCGCTCCTGAAGAATTTTCAGCTTGTTTTTTCAAGCAAGAATGCATGGTGCGGCCGCTTCCTTTCCATCAGGCTGAAATAACACCGTGATCTACCGCACTTAGCCGCACAAATAGGCCTAACACACAACTGACTCGCCGACTTGGCTCCCACAGCCGCCACTATAGTGTAGTACTAGAATATAGGGTATTGTGTTCAGGGAGGAGCTGTGGCTGACGCAGTTGGTATCGACAGCCGCGAGATGACGTCACCTTAGCATGGGTTGTCACCTCACGCTTTGCCTTTTATGCACTTCTGTGCTTTGATATTAGTAATAGCAAAGGTTTAACGTCCCAAAACCACCATACAAATATGAGAGACGCTGTAGAGGAGTTCTCCAGAAATTCGACCACCTGAGGTGCTTTGACGTGCACCTAAGTCTAGGTACACGAACCTCAGTATTTGCGCCTCCGCTAAAAATGCAGCCGCCCTGGCTGGGATTAGATTCTGTGATATGCGCTTGCATACATAATTGCTGACATCTGAGGAAAAGCTTTTTAATGGGTTTGTTTGTACTGCATACAAAACAAAACAAAATGTCAAAGCTGCAACACACGGTCCAAACGCAGGTATTAACAAACGACGGCGAAGCAGTCATCCCTGGGGAAACTGCCTACAGTTTTTAAAGCTAGGTTGGTGAACGAATAAAAAAATTAGGTAGATTGAGGTATCGAAGGAGCATCTATAAACCTGAAAGTTTCTTGTTATATTATTGCTATATCGAGTCGTAGTCTTCACACTGCGACAGCTTCGACTTTCTTCGTTACGAGTGCGGCACCGTTCTTGTCAATAGTTGCATCATGTGGTTAAGGTGACTAAACTGCTATTTGATTGAGAGGCATGCCGTAGCTGAAGACTTGGGAATAATTTTGACAATCTTGGGTCCTTAAACGATTACGCGCCCGGCGAAATACTGCTCCTGAGGCCGGGATATTGCACTGTGCAGTCAAAAGGAAACATCACTTGGCACCACTGTCAGACTGTAAATAGAAACCCTTATTTACGAGCACGCCTACTGCAGTGAGCAGTAACACCGATTAAATTCGTTGCCATCCCATGGAATTATCAGTTCACGATCACTTCATCACGGTGACACCTTTATAAACACAGACTGATTTTCGCGTGCAGCTTTTTTTTTTTCGTTTTGCCTCTCGAGACTGGTTGATACCCTTCACGAAAAAATGAAGTCGTGACAGTACGTAAATTACCGCTCTCTTTGACATGAGATACGGTGCGATCGAGCTCATATAAAATCAATCTAAACAACGCTTGTGTAAGCGTTCCAGGAGCGAAGCTGCAGTCCTTGTAGTGTTCGCCACTTCGCATTCGTAGTCAGCAGGAAGGTCCATCGATGAACCTGAATCAGTGGCCTCACCGTCAACACAGGGTGCTGCAGTTTTCTTGGAGATGGTAGATTCAACCACCGAGTTCTCCCGCTTTCTCGGAGCTCTTGGATGCGGAGCTTTCTTCGATAAGTACGTTGGAGCAATAGGCAGTAACATCGGCAAGACATCCGGCGTTAGCTCTGGTCTCCTACGTGGTATGCGAACTTCTTCGCCGTTTATAACGTGCACGTAGTCTTCAAGAACACATGAAGACTCGAAGTGTAGCTCTCATACAGAGCAGCTTTCGTTCAAGGTCCCATTTTTTCAATTTAAATTCTGTTCCCAAACTTTCTTCCATGCTTCGTCTTTGGGTGCGAAAAGCAATGGCTTCTCATCTTTTTTCCAAAGGTACACCCTGTTTCGCACCTAAGTACAAAGCAGTGTCGTTACCACCGATGACTCGGCATCGCCTCACTGTCGCGTAGCCAGCAAAAACATTGCCAGAAAAACTTTCGTTAAGCGGGCGCAAACACAAGCAACAGGTCACGGAACAGCACCCGAGAAGGCAGAGCGGCGCAGAGCTGACAATCTTGCCAGCCCATGCTGCTGCAGCGCCGCCTTGAGAACCCGTTTTTTTGTCCACGTGCGCTGCTTCACGCGATGCATGGCGAGAGAGGGTGCCTGAACACACTATACACTATACATTATAAGTACACTATACCGCCACAAGCGAGAATGGCTACTGGATTGGCTTGTCTCGTGTTGCTGTCATGGTTGTGAGACTACATTTGGCCTGAGCGAGTCTATGCTGTGTTTAGAGTTTGTGCCGTTTATCCGGAGGTGACCAATCAGCTCTGTTTCTATTAACCGATGAATTTTACTGTGCAACACATAGAAATCCAGTCATATGAGCCCTTTAGTTCCGTTAATGAGGCATTTTCGTTCAAACGAGCTTCGTTTATTGGGTGACCACTGTAGCTGCATCGGTCATTGAAGAGCTGTCTTGATGTGTGATGACATTTTTCAAAAGAAAGTCATCAGTTGCACATATAGTTGAGAAAGCACTTGTGATCAGTAATGCGACAGAAGGGGCTAGTTGGTTCTTGTGGGCTTGGCGATTCGCTTACAGTAGAGAGGTGCTACAAAGGATACACCGCGGAGGATACTCAACACAGTTCTGCCTCACGACTATTTATTCTCTGAGATTGTGTTCGATGTATTTTGTAGCATCTCCATACCGTAAGCGCATCACCAAGCCCACATGTGATCGTATTCATTATGACAGATAGAAGTGGGGGGGAGTACGTAACAGGACTGGAGGAGATAAAAACAGATGAGACATTATGGACATCCTCCAGTCCATGTTACGCCCCATTTCTATCTTTCATATCGAACTGCTCCCAACTAGCCCAAATGGCTGTTTTGCTACAATACATGGGATCGTGTATTGGTCTGGATAATTGGTTCCTGCTGCTTTTCACTTATTATTGCGATAGCAATATATATGGACAGTCTTGGGTGCTTTTTTGCCGTCGCCACAGTCATTCATCGCATATGTATACGTATCTGTTACTATATATGTATACGTATCTAAAAAAGTAAAAAAAAATGCGCCCGCGCTTGGCGCACAGCTTGGTACGCTGTGCTGGCACCTGCTTATCCCTACGCGTACTTTGCCCTGCGAATAGGGGGAGGTTGTTTAACACAAATGCACTCAAATGATAAGCCCACGCACACAAGCATTTGTGTGCGTCAACTTATCCTTCGGGGGGAGAATCGTGTGCCTTCGGCTTTCGCTGGAACGATTGCATTAGTTGCTGGGCCCACAAAGGTAACTTCGCTTGCTGCACACGCCCC